CTTTTTGGGGAAAACCGTGCGGACTTGGCCCAAAACGGATAATATCACACCATGTTAAGAGTATCTTAGGCCATTTTAGTCCAACAATTTAGTAGACTTCTTAATATATAAATAGAATCTGAGTAAAAACTAATAAGTTCCTGTGAATACATATGCCATACTCTAGATCCGCCACTGTTTGCATCCTCTACTAAATATCCTTGATTTTTTGTGGTCTTATCATATTCTTAATAGGTATTTGATCATGCAAATTAACCCATTATCTACCTTTCATTTTCCACAGAAAAAAGTAAGCCTTCCAGCCACAGTAGGGAGAGTGCTAAAGTACATACCAGAGTTAAAGAAAGAAGTAGAAAGACTGACACAGAAGAAAGAAAATCTCACATTAAGATCTATCCCTAAGAAAGAATATTCTGCTGATTTTAATAAGCAAACACTAAGAAGAAGAATTCAGAATTCTTTATGTCACGACCCGGAATTCCCACCCTCGGGAATCGTGATGGCGCCTACTCGTAGAAATTAGGCAAGCCATGAACTTAGAAACCACTAACTCATTCGTTTTTATACATATTTCGCCAGTTAAATTATCAATGATTAAGCATTTAAATGATAGCGGAAAATAAAATTTAGCGGAAGTCTTAAATAAATATGAAATCCAAATATCAAGAAACCAATACATGTCTCTATCCAGAACCTGATGTCACATCATCCACGGACTACTAAGAATACTACATACATCAGTTTGAAAGAAAGATAACATTGTCTGTCTTGAATACATGAGATAGCAGAATATAAAATAGGATAGAGTAGACGTCGGGCCTGCGGACGCCGGCAAGGCTACCTCGGTGTTTAGGTGGACTGAAGGCTGGTTCCCGAGCTAATGTTGCTGCTCAAACGTTGCTCCGGTATCTGCACATAAGTGCAGAGTGTAGCATCAGCACAACCGACCCCATGTGCTGGTAAGTGTCTGGCCTAACCCCGGCGAGGTAGTGACGAGGCTAGGACCAGACTCCAGATAAACCTGTGCAGTTATATAATATATGGCTGAAAAAGTAAACAGGTAATAAGCAATCAAAGCTGGAGAAGGGGAACATGCTTCGGGGGTAGCAGATAAAACAGAATATCAAAGAATAATAAGGAAACTACAATTTAACTTCTAACACGAATAAAAAGAAATAAGGCAACTTTCACTTTCATCTTGTTGCAGGCGTGCAACCCGATCTCATAGATATAGGTGTATCACCCGCTCCCATTTTATTATATCTTGTGGTAGGCATACCACCCGCTCCCATTTTATTATATCTTGTGGTAGGCATACCACCCCCTCCCATTTCATTATATCTCATGGTAGGTGTACCACCCGCTCCCATTTCATCGATCTTGTGGTAGGCATACCACCCGCTCCCATTTCATCATATCTTGTGGTAGGCGTACCACCCGCTCCCATTTCATTATATTTTGTGGTAGGCGTACCACCCGCTCCCATTTACAAGTCATCACAAAATTACAAAAAATCCCGGCAAGGGAACAAAAATAATATAATAACTTCCCGGTAAGGGAACAACAATATCGAAATAGTCATCCCGGCAGGGGAGAATCAGCTATAACCAAATCCTAATTCATTTTGTACTCAGCTCAATTAATGACAATACTCAATCATAACTAAGATCTGCGAGGATAAAATCAATCTTTACTCAATATAGGAGATCATTAATTAAAGCATCTGAAGTGTCATCTAGGAGCACAACAACGTTCAAATTTAAGACTCACGGTCATGCTCGACAGCAACGTATAGATACTCGTCACCATGCCTATACGTCGCACTCAACAAGAAGCAAGTAGCAAATAGGACTCAACTCCTAATCCCTCAAGCTGAGGTTAGATCGAACACTTACCTCGAACTTTTACGGCCAACTCAAGCCTCGAACACCGCATTTCCTCTCAAATTCAGCTTCAACCCAATTGAATCTATACATAATTGACTCAATATCATCAATAAGTGCTAAACAATCCAATTCCAATGTTTAATTATAACTTTTCAATCATTCTTCCCAAAATCCCAAAAATCGACCCCGGACCCACTTGGTCAAAACATGAGCTTCAGACCAAAACCCGATCACCCATTCACCTACGAGCCCGAATATATAATTTGTTTTCAAATCCGACCCCAAAACGAGGTCTAAAACACAAATAATCAAAAAGCCCTGACTCTATCCAAATCCCTAATTTCTACCCTTAATTACATGTTTTAGGCCTAAAAATCTAGTTGGTGTTGATGAAAAATGAAGAAAACAAGTTAAAGATTACTTACCCAAGAGATTATGGTGAAGAGAAGCTTCAAAGATCGCCTAAGCGCTTTGGAAAAGAAGAGGTTTGTGAAATTTTTATAAAATCCCGAAAGTGTTCTGTTTTTGGCCTTTTTAAAATCACTAGGCGAAAATGCCCTTCGCGTTCGCGACTGACCCTTCACGTTTGCGATGGTCAGGCTGGGTGAGCCTTTGCGTTCGCGTACACGGTCTCGCATTCGCGGAGAGTAATCTCCTCGAGCCCTCGCGTTCGCGTAAGACAACTACCCCACCCCCTGCTAGGCCCATTTGGCCTTCGCATTCGCGTGGTCAGGACCGCGCTCGCGAAGGGTTATCCCCCCCCCCAAAGCCTCGCGTTCATGACCTGAGCTACGCGTTCGCGTAGAAGGAAATTCCTTCAGCAACAATTAACCCATCGCGTTCGTGTGGGTACTCTCGCGAACGCGAAGAAGGAAGTACCAGAAACCCAACAGCTGAGAAACCTGCAACAATTTCTAAGTCCGAAACCCTCTGAAACACATCTGAATCACACCCGAGCCCTCGGGGCTCCTAACCAAACACACGTACTAACTCAACAACTTCATATGAACTTATCTGTGCGATCAAATCGCCAAAATAACCTCAAAAACAATGAATCAAACCTCAAAGTCAAAGGATTTTTCTCAAACTTCATAAAACATCAACTTTAGCAATTTAGGGCCGAATCACGTCAAACGGACTCCGTTTTCAGCCAAATTTTACAGAAATGACTTAAACCATATATAAGACATGTACCGCGTGCCGCAACTAAAATACGGGCCCGATACCATCGCTTTCTAATGAGATTTCATTTCAAAATTCCTTAAAAAATTTCAGAAAACAATTTTACTTAAAAATTCATTTCTCGGGCTTGGGACCTCGGAATTCGGTTCCGGGCATACGCTCAAGTCCCATATTTTCCTACGGACCCTCCGGGACCGTCAAATAACAGGTCCGGGTCTGTTTACCCACAATGTTGACCGAAGTTAAATTTATTCATTTTAAACTCAAATTTCATCATTTTTCAAAGAATTTCATATTTAAGCTCTCCGGCTACGCGCCCGGACTGCGCATGCAAATCGAGGCGACTCTAAATGAGGTTTTCAAGGCCTCAGAAGCATAAAATACAATTAAAAACAGGCGATTACCCTTTGGGTCGTCACACTTTATTAGTTGTCTCAACAAATCAAGTGGGAGATAAAGAAATCGTGATTCAAATATCTATTTTGAAGACCAATAAGAGTTCGTTTGCTGAAGCTGTATCAGAATTAGAGGAGGAAAGACTTCTCCTACTGAATGCATCTTCTTTTCAAACTTTGGAAGATAGAGTTTTCTACAATTTGCATTTTCAGGTATTAATATAAACTTCACTCACTTTCTTCTACTTGCTTTCTTGGCTTCGGTCTTCTTGTTTTATCTTAATGTTGTCACTACTTGTTGTCGTTACTTTTTTTCTTTCTTTCTTTAGCCGAGGGCCTATCGAAAACAGTCTCTCTGTCCAGGGTAAGGATAAGACTGCATACATCTTACCCTCTCCAAACCTATTCGTGAGAATCAAATCAGGGGCGGCCTGTCCATAAAGCAGGTAAAGCAACTGCTTTACGCCCCACATTTGTGGAGGCCCCATTTTTTTTTACACCTAATAGGCTATATATAATTTTTTTAAAAAGTTATATGAAGTGAAAAAATTAATTTCTTTATTTAACAAATATAGAGACGAAGTATTT